ACTTTGTGGTAGGGATTTCTTTAATGGCCTGTATGTTATTTAACCTCATTATGTGTTGGTCAAATTGAATTTTGGAGGAATTTGGGATTGAATTAGGCATGATTTTTATTCATAAAAAAAGAGTTTTTGGGGTGTTTTCTTCAAAATGTTGTTAGGTTGCTTATGATAATGGGTGGTATGGGAACTTGAGGGAAATTGCTTTCAAATGAGAAATGTGAAAGAAACATATGTTATTTTGGCATTATGGAAGATCTTGGCAATTCTTGACTTTGAACAAAAAGGGAAATTGATGAAATCTATGGAAGAATATTATAATTCTGGTTTGAGTTGGAAAAGAAAAGATCGAACATGTAATTGTTACTCCTATGTTGAAATTATTGAAAATATGAGATTATAAGTTATATTTGTCTCTTGAAATTTATATATTAGTTAGAGATGACTATTTTGGCTATCGGTGGAGGATAGCATTGCTTGTTGTAAAAATTGCATGAGAACTAGGTTAACTGAAGTCCAACCATCCATGCATTTCATTTGAGTATTGGTTTCATACTCATGCATTAAAAAGTATTATTTTGAGGAAAATGGATGAATACCGTGATAAATCTGGTTAGGGGTGTGGTTGTGATTAATTAAGTTGGCCTTTGTGTCCTTGGTGAAAGTCCAAAAATCCGCACAGTTAAGATGCCTTCATTCCGGTTAGTTGCCGATAAAATGGGCTTGGTAGTGCTTTTATAGCCTACTTGCAGATACATACCTAAAGATTACCAATGTGTGTATTTACTACCCTATTTTCTGTTTTGAAAAAAAAGATATATAAATTGTGATTTGAACCCTGGCATAGCATTGTTTAAAAAGAGAAAATTGTATATTTTTTTAATAGCATTTCATAAGCATTAACCATATAGCTTTGTTAAACATCATACATGTTATTAAACTCATCTTTACTGGGTTTTAGCTTACCCTATGTGGGAACCAACTTTCTGGTACTGATGGTATGCCTCTGCAAAAAGGATAGCTTCTTTTTTTCTTTTTTTTTTTTTTGGTAAATTTGTTTTGTTCAAGCCTAGGATTTTCATTGTATTTGGCTTGACCCACTTTTGTTATAACCAATCAAATTCTTGAAAATTTGTAACCTTTAGGGTATGAACTTATATTTATTTACTTTTGTTCCTATGTGTTAGGTCACATGCTATAGATTCATGATCCAAAATTGATGAATGTATTACCGCATGTGATGTCTCTTGTAATACTTTGAGGTGAATCAGGCCCGGCCCTGAGATTTCCGGGGCCCAAAGCCAATAATCAACTAATAAATTTTTGGAGCCCTTCACATTTTTTTTTTCATTGAATGAAAAAAAAAAAATTTGAAGATAAAAGACAAAAGATTTGTGTCAAAATCATAAAAAATACTTAGTATTACATTACAACAATTAATAAGTGTCGCTTGATTCTCACTCTTCTTGCATTTTTAGAAGCAAATAAATCAATCATACTTGCATAATCTAGTTTTTTCGCAAAATCATTTTCAATGGATAATAATGCTAATTATTTTAAATGGGCTTTTCAATTTTTTAATGGGTCAATTTATTCTAAGTTAGTTTGGGTCTTCTTTAATTTTTTTTTTTTTGAATTTAAAACATACCTAATATATTACAATAAACTAATAAACTATAATAGGAGGGGGACCCCTTTTTTTTTGTCTATTTTCAATGGATAACAATGTTAATTTTTTTGAATGGGCCTCTCAATTTTTTAATGGGTCAATTTATTTTAAGTTAGTTTGGGTCTTCTTTAATTTTTTATTTTATTTTTTTTGAATTTAAAACATACCTAATATATTACACTAAATCATAATAGAAGAGGCCTCTTTTTTGAGGGGCCCTAGGCCATGTCCTTGTTGGCCCATGCCCAGGGCCGGCACTGAGGTAAATGAATGAATTATAATTTTGGAAATGTGTATGATATTAAATGGTTGGGATTGTTAAGCTTATGCATGTATGTTTGAGGGTTATGAGGTGTATCGGTTATCATTATTTCCGGGGCGTTACAGTAACTATCGAAAATAGGTGGTAATGGTGATAATAGGATGCTGGTAGTAATAGGTGGTGTTGGTGGGATGGTGGTTGTGGCAACAACAGTGGTAATGGTGGTAGGGTGGCTGTTGGGGCAGCGACAGTGGTAGGCAGTCATAATAGATGGTTGTGGTAGGGTGGTGGTTGTGACGATGGAGGCATGGGTGGTTATAGACGGTGGTAATAGGTGGTGGTAGCAACAATGTTAGTAGGGTTATGGTGGCAGCGACAACGACCGTGGTGGTGGCAATAATAGGATGGTTGTGGAGGTAATAGGGGTTGGTGGTAGGGTTGTGGCGGTGGTAGTAGCGATAATAGGGGTGGCGGTAGTGGTAGTGGTGGGTAGTGGTAGGGTGGTAGTTGTGGCAACAATGGTGGTGGTAGGGTGGCAATCACAGGGTCATGGAGGTTTTCTCTTTTTTTTTAAGGAATATGAAACTTTCATAGATTAAAGTTCACAAACAGACAAACAAAACAACACAAAGCAAAAGAGGCAGATTACAAACTTATGCTTCTATAACAAGAAGCTAGTCGTGCCTCTTCATGCGCAACTTTAACTTCTACTCTAGGAACCTTATAAATACAGACATAATCAAAAACTAACACACATACTTAATATCAGCTAACAAAGCTTCTAAATTCCACTCCGTCGAGCCCAGTGTCAGTAATTGACGGATCAATTCCTGACTGTCCGTAAGAACAGAAATAGCTTTAATTTGAGAGTGGAAGACACCATTTTAGCGCTTCTAAACATGCTCAAGCCTCAGCCACAAGAGCTGATGAAGCAAAAAAGTACATATGTCGCTTAACAATCGGATTTCTATTGCCATCCAATCCCGCCCAAGCAGCACCAGCTTTCAGTGAATGTTGTTGCCAAGCTTCAATAAGCATCCTGTCAAAAATATCATCTGCACACCATGAAGAATTATTAGAAACAACAAAACACCTTAAGCCATGCTTGGGCCCTTGAGTACAAGTTAAGTTTGGAATATCCATGTCCTCAGATGCCAAGTGTCACGCCCCGCCGTATTACTAAGGCAGAATAACTTACAAAAAGGAAGTCTCAAGGAAAAGAGACTATTGAAATGGCTTGGAAGCTCCTGGAAGACTTGAGAAAGTATGAAGGCCAGGAAGGATGCTAGAGAGTTCTGGAACTCTCTAGAATGGCTACAAGAAGAGAAGCTGCAGCAGCATTGCCTAGAAGACTCTAGAATAAAGGTTGTATGTATGTTCTAGGATAGGCTTTTTGAGGATGAGGGAAGGATCTAGAATCCCCTCCATCCATGTAGTTCTAAAATAATCTATTAGAGGTAGTAGGGGGAAGTGTCTAGAACACTCTCCACCATAGTAGTTCTAGAATATTCTATGTAAGGCTATAAAAGGGGGAGGCCCTCATTTGGCCAAACCAAGAACCAAGAACTAAGAAGTAGACCCAAGCATTGTAAAGCATTCTAGTAATACAAAGCTAGTATTCCCCTAGCTCCCTTCCACAAAAGGCTTACTTAGGTGCGAGCAACGCGTGCTACAAGCATCTAAGGCCGCACGGTTGGCTTGGAAAGACTGAGGGTTGGTTCAGAAATTCCAAGGCCGTGACACAAGGAAACCCTTAAGATTAGAATGTAGATTGGAAATGAAACCTAGAATTTCAGAAGGATTAAACACTTCATCATCAAAGCAAGCTTTATTCTGAAAGATCCATAGACCCCATAAAATCTTAACAGCTTCCACCATTGCAGCTTCATCAGGTGCGATTTGAAACCAAAGAGATAACCAATTCTGAACCAATAATTCTACAGCAACTTCAAAATTTAAACCCAGCTGTGACCCTCTCCATACATGCTTAGAAATCAGACATTGAAACCCAAAATGTTCAAGAGATTCCTCCCCCTCTCGACATAATGGACTCAAGGCTTGCGTGACAAATCGTCGTTGAAGAAGAAAGGCTCGAGCAGGCAGAATTCTATGAAAAAGTTTCCATATAAAGAGATACCATTTAGGGGATGTTAAGATTCCAAAGTTTTTTTTCCAAAGTGCACTGTGCACCCCACAACTCCAACAAACGTTGACAGTTATCAAACCCCATAGCAAGAAGATATCCAGATTTAACTGAATAAGCACCACTCTAATTATTTTTCCAAATCACTTGGTTAGTTGCATCTCCTCTAAGAAGATTAATGTTAAGAATATGATTTGCCATATCAAAATGGGTCGTGGTGGTTGCGGTGGCAACAGTGATGTAAGGAAGATAGTGGTGGTAGGTGGCAGTGGTAGGTGGTAGAAGAGGGGTGGCTATGGCGGTAATAGGTAGAGATAGCAGCCATCATACTAATACACTTGTTATAAGATAATTCAATTATACAATTGAATGTCTATTTTTTTAACTTGGAAGAAGGAATTAAGTATAAAACTTTTTGTTAGAATGACCATTCCAATGAAATAGCCATTTCCAATTACATAAGGTGTACCAAATCTAAAATTAGAATGGACATTTCATTCCGGCCAATTCCATCATACCAAACAAGCTCTTAATTTTAAAGATCTCAAAAATTCTACTAAAATTTCGATCAAATATTTCACATGAGTGTAAGACTCACATAGGATTGATCGCATATCCATGTGAAACATTTAGTAAAAATTTTAATAAATCTTTTGAGGTCTAGCATTTTTCTTGTTGGAATGAATTTTCTCACTCAAATATGGCACATCAAACAAGGGAAAGGAATGCAAAGCTAGAATGAATATTTCATTCCAGCATACTAATCAGGAGTTAATTTGAAAATCTCATATATGATCAAACGGTTCTGAGTAAATTGAGACGAGGATGTAGGATTTTACAACAGAGGACCCTCAGGCTAAGAAACTGGAAGCTATTTATTGAGGCTCTTGGTGTCCCTTAATAAACTCCAGCCAGAACCTGCAACTCATGAATAGCAACAGAAACTGCCATTGCCTAAATCTTTTTCCATGGGCAAAACAAGCACAGTTTTAGATGATGCATCTGAAACAACTGCAAAATATGCAGCGTCATCCAAGCATTGAAACAACTCTGCAAATCCAAATTAAAAGTCGGACAAGCATTGCAGTTCAAATGAAAATCTATTGCTATCAAACTAAAATAAAAATAAAAAGAAGTCCTCAACTGACTGCACTACAAAAGCAAAGGTCCTGGATGTTGTTGCACTCTCATCTCAAGGGCAACCAGTCCAAGTTCCATGCAAAGCAGAAGGCTTAGCTAGTAGCAAAAAAAACCCTATCAACAACTAAATGGGTTATAAGGGATCATGACTCAGCTGGTTCATAGCTGCCTTGAGCGCCTGAACTATAATTGTTGTAGAAGTTCCCACCACCACCACCCCTGCCACCTCTTCCCCTATTGTTGTAATAGTTCCTTGGGTTATAGTTTCTGGGCTGGTCATAATACTGGTTGTGGCCATTCTGATAAGGCCCACCTCCCCTGCTGCTTCCTCGTCCTCCACGGCCATTGGAGTAGCCACCACCCCTGCGGCCACCACCACGGCCACCTTTTTGGTTCTGATAGTTCCTCCGAGAAACATAATGCTGATCCTTTGACTCCACATCTCTCTGATTCTTCCCTTCTGCTTGCAGTTCATCTAGTTCTGTCTCAGACAAAACTTCTGTATGATTTTCCGACCCAAATTCACCCTGCTAGTAGAGTGCCATGTTTCATCTCATTAACCAAAAAAAATTACCAAACATTAATAAATACAGGGAGTTTGTGTAAGGGTACAAATACCATCTTGTGAGGTTCTTCCACAGGACCAGACTGATTATCATATGTCTCGTTTCCTTGAAAATTTGTTGTATCTTCATCCTACATAATACTTGCAAATTAGGACACATGCAACTATCATATTTAAAATTTAAAATAAATATAATAAAATAAGAAGAAAGTAAGTTACTTCATTGTTAAAAGTTCATTCCGACAGGATAAAAAGAATCAGACGTAATACCTAAAGGGAGAAGCAGCACCAAAAATTAATGAGAGAACTCGTTCAAACATTTGGCACATAAGCCAAGTAAAAAATACTCACAAGTATTGGACTATTCACCATATATGTGCACCAGCAATAAGAGATGATTGATCCAAGCAGTGTTTTTAAAGGCTCAAGGCGCACTAAGGCACTAAAGGTCTCTCGGGGCCTAGGCGCAAGGCGAGGCGCGGGCTTTATTGAAGTAAGGCGCAAAGTCTTAGTAAAAACTAAAAAATTAACATAGACTAATCATTCATAGTACTAACTACTAAAACAATTTTTTTAAAAAATAAAAAGTAATCAAGATTCAAGACAAAATATAAAATAATTCTCAAAGCCATGAAAGTGCATATTACATAACATTCCAATTTTCAAAGATAAAATAATTCACATTCAATAAAATAAAAACAAAAACAAAAACATAAACACTAATACATCCAAAACATAAATATCTAATTTTGAAAAATAAGAATCAGAATCAGAATCTAATTTTAGAAAATATGAATTAATTTTAGTTCATTAGAATAAGAATCTAATTTTGGCAAATATGAATTTTGGAAAATAAGAATAAGAATCAGAATCTAATTTTGGAAAATAATTTTAGTTAATTAATCAGAATCAGAATCTATTTTTTTCCCCTAACAGATAAAGGAAAAAAAAAGACTAGTAGAACATTGTATTAATTAATTATTTGTGAATAATTATTTATTTATAATTTTTTTTTCAGTGTATTTTTTTAGTTAATTAATCAGAATCAAAATCTATTTTTTTCCCCTAACAGATAAGGAAAAAAAAAATTGAAAAAAAAAAAGGCATAATTGAAAGGCATAATAATCTTTTTTTTTTTTAGTCTATTTTTTTTAGTTAATTATTTTGTATTTGTATTTTTTTTTTTTTTTTTTTTTTTTTTAAAAAAAAAAAGGGGGCAAAACAGAGACGAGACGACACAGCCAAAAGGAGGAGGAGGAGAAAGAGAGTCAAAGTCAGAGTCAGAGTCGAAGAAGAAGAAGTCGAAGAAGTCAAAGCCCAAAAAAAAAAAAAAACAAAAAAAATAACAAAAAACAGAACCAGTCGATCAACCCAGTCGAAGAGGAGAAGGAGGAGAAGAAGAATCAAGTCGATCAGCCCATTCGATCAAGTCGATCAGCCCAGTCGAAGAGGAGGAGGAGAAGAAGAAGAATCAAGTCGATCAGCCCATTCGATCAAGTCGATCTGTGGTTAAGAGCCATTTGAAAAATCAAGCGCGCCTAGTCGTCGCCTTGCGCCTCTGTCGCCTGGTTCAAGTCGCGTCTAAGGCGTGCGCCTAACTCAACTCGCCTCGCCTGGGACTTGTGTAGGCGCAAACCATGAGCTTCGCTTCGCCTTGCACCTAGGCGCGCTTTTCACAACACTGGATCCAAGTGAAGGCACAACAAAGGCATGAAGAAAAAAATGGGAGTGGCCCAAGGTGGCAACAGAAGGCCAATACCCAGTGGCAGCACTCAAAACTCATTTTGTGTTAATATGCATTGCAGCAGCCAGAGTACAACAATTCATCTAGGCGTCCAATAAGACCAAAAGCCAAGAACAAATATGCATAAAAATTGGACTCTTTGTCGTGCACTAGCATTGAAAAATGATTGGATTCAAGTGAAGGCACTACAAAGACAGGAAGAAAAAAATGGGAAGGGCTTGAGGTGGCAACAAAGGGCCATAAACCAGAGGCTGCACCTGAACTCATGTCGTATTCCCATGTATGGAAAATCTGGAAGGAGTGCCTGTATAAATTTCAGAAATAGCAATGAATAAATCATCAGAAACTTATCTTTCCATAGCCATTAGCCTGGTCTAACTTAGGAGGTTGTGGTTTGGTTTCCCTCTAAGCACACCAAAACTCGTCTATTATATTTTTCCTTCCCTCAAAAAAGCATTGTATTCTTTCTATAGCAATTATACAACAATGTATACATATAATAATATTGTTAAATACGAATACATAAGTAGTGTAGTGTCCGATGGAAAATATCGGATCCCACACCCTTGTCCAAGTGTTAAGTGTCCAACACAAGTATTTAATTTGCTTTGAAGAGTCCATATAACATGGGGAAGTGGTTCAAAAACTGAGGTTTATGACATTAAGAGTGTTGAGACTTTGACTTGTATCTACTATTCAAAAGTTGGGGAGAAAAAATTGCATTTGCACACCAATTATAAAATGACTTCTTGCCCTGCCACCCAAGGAGCTTCTATTTGCACACCATCCATTTTCTTAGTTTCACACCATTTTTTTGGTTCAGATATCAACTAATGAATAAAAACTCATGGTTCAAATATCTACTATTGAACCAAAGGTGTAGCCAAACCATGGGTTTTCATTCAGTGGTTGATATCTAAGCCATTAACTTTTGTTTGGTAGTTGATAACCTAGTGAATGAAAAATAAATAAATAAATAGGTGACCAGACAAAAACATGTGTAAAAAGAAACTCCCCACCACCCACCGTTATACCTACCCTTTCTAAAGTATGATGATTATAGATATTCATATACATGCAGAGAAATTAAAAAAACTATAATAAACTATGGCACATTTGTCACACTTGTACATAACCTCCAACTTCTTGTATGGCTCAAAAGCTAAGAAGCACGGACACTTCTAAGAAGGTAACGTATCCGTGTCGTGTCCGTGTCGGACACCGACACTCTTTGGACACTCTTAGGACACGTGTCCGATACTCTTCAAAATGTGTCCTATTTTTTAAATATTTTTACAGACCCGGACACTCTTTGGACACTTGGAGGACACACGTGTCAATTGTTTAAACACATGTCTCTATTGATTATAGATATGTAAAACTAATTATAAATTTGAACAAAACAACTTAAGATACAATAATAAAACAAAAACCATATAAATTTATAGGAAATAGTGCCATATTGCATTTTTTATTATCTTTGAATGATATATTCATATATATAACAAATAATAAATATATAAAATTATATATTTCATGCGTGTCCTCCACGTGTCGTGTCCTGCATTTTTTTAAAATTAACGTGTCGGCGTGTCCGTGTCGTATTCGTGTCGTGTCACGTGTCCGTGTCCATGCTTCTTAGCTCAAAAGTCTTAAGGGTCAAACTTAAAACAGATCAAACGATATTAGCACATCATTTATAATTCCCAAAGTTGATCCACATGGAAGCTTATTACAAGTAGACACTGATGCCAAAGCATCCTAATGAAGGCAACAAGACATTGAGGGTAAGAGAACACAACCAGACTATGTTACATGGACTCGGGTGTGTAACTAAGGACCGGACACTTATGTTACACAGACTCTTCAAAATAAATCAAATTCCCATGTCGGATATTCCACACTCAGACAAGGGAATAAGATAAGTGTCGGATACTTTTTAATGGATACTTCTTATGTAATTGTATATAATAGTATTATTATATGTAAATATTGTTGTACAATTGTTAGTACCATTTTATCTCACATAATTAAAAATATGACATTTTTTTGCATAGTCCGCGTACCTCTAAATTTATAATTTGATGAGTCCGACATCTAGATATATACTAGCACCCAATACCCGTACCTGAGTTCATGTAATATAGTCAGACACATCAAATCTCTAAATAAAGGATACGTGGACTCAGCTAAAATGTATCCAATAATTAGATACTGGTACGTGGATACAGCAAAAAGTATTGAAAAAACATTAGCAGAGGTCTAATCCTACAATTTTTTTTCTTTTTTTATACTATTTTTTTAGGTGCTAAATCTGAAAAAAAAAATTATTTTGCTGCAAAATTTTGGTTTGGACAGGCCGAAATTCGTTGGATTAGAGTTTAATAATATGAAGAGTGAAAAGTTAGCCCAATTAATATTGTAACTATAAAGTATTGTGGCCCTCTCTCCTCTTCGGCGATTGAAAGACGATGGTCAACGTGAATCGGCATCCATTGCGCCTCAATCTTCCACAATCTATGTTTTTCTTCCTCAATCTATCCAATCACCGTTTCGTCTCTTGATCTGCCGTATCCTTTTGCAAAGTGTCGTGTCCGAGTTGGATTCCGCACCCGTGTTGGTGTCGTGTCGTGTCGTGTCGACACCAGTATTAGTAGCAAAACAATGAGTCCGTGTAACGTAGCAAACAAATTAACTCATTGCGAAATTATCAGGCAATGTTTTTACAAACAAACACATCACTTACAGGCATTAACTACAAACCGAATAGAATGATAGGAAGAAACTTTTTTCTTTCATTCAACCTAACATATGCAACATGAAATTTGTCTGAAAAAATCATTTTTACCCAATTGGCCACTCAACAAGCACCGCTTTAATTAATTTTAAGTCACAACCTTTTCTTCTTATGAGATTACTCAACCCTAAACCCTAAACCCTAAACCTTAAACCTTTTCTTCCCATGGATCACTCAACCTAACAGCAAATAAATACAATGAGGAAAGTGACAACTCAGTTGCTTGGAGATTTAGGGAGATTCGGGGCCAGGAAACAAAAAAGCCACTTTGAGAAATTTGTCAACAGGCTATCACACAACAAATGTAACACCATAAAAGATTTCTTGGCCCAAGTCAACAACAATTAGAGAATAACCAAAAGCCCAAAAATAAAAATATCCAAACCAAACTAAGCCTTGTGTCCCAATCAAGTATGGTTGGCTACATGAATCCTTTTTCTCCATTTAGCACTATCAAGGGCTCTATGCTCAGTTAAATAAAACAAATTTAGATCTTTTTTCACTACTGCATCCCGTATCAACTTATGTTTTCCCCGGCCCCTAGCATCTCCACATATGGTGATCTCATCACTAAAAAACAAAAATTATGA